TTCTTTTATCTTCCTTTTTTATTTTTATTTTTTGAGAGATGAAGGCTCACTATGTTACCCAGCCTGGAGTGCAGTGGTATGATCATGGCTCACTGAAGCCTCAGCCTCCAGAGCTCAAGCTATTCTACCCCCTCAGCCTTCCAAATAGTTGGGACTACCGGTGCACACCACCATGCTTGGACTATTTTTAAACCATTATTACTTGTGGAGACAAGGTCTTGCTGTGTTGCCCAAGCTGGTCTTGAACTCCTGGGCTCAGTGATTCTCCTGCTTCGGCCTCCTGAAATGCTGCGATTCCAGGTGTTTGCCACTGTGCCCAGCCTAAAGTTTCCTTTTAAACTATGTATTTTTAATTTCCAGGAATTTATTTTTGGCTTCTGACTACTACTTTTAAAAAAATTTGTAGTACTCAGTTCTTGTTTACTGGCTATAATATGTCATAATATTTCACTATGTTGTTTTGAAGATATTAATAATTTTTTTCTTCTTCTTCATAGTCTTTATTTCTTCCTAGCTGTTTTTCTATTAGTTTGTTTTGGCCTCTACTTTTCTTATTAGAATATTCCACCAACTATATGGAGATCCTTGGCTGCATGCCCACATCTGGGAAAAAGTTTCTGAAAAGTTTTTGGAAAGCTTAATTTATATGGTTCAGCCTATCAACTGTGGTTTTCACTGCAGGATAATCTGTTGGCCAGAGCTATGTGAAGGAAGTGAGGAAAGATGGCTAGGGTCCTTGACATTCAGTTACAAACTTTCAGTAGGTTCCTTCTCAGCCTTGTCAATGGCTGGCTTAGGAATCAGCTTTCTTAGGACTGACAACTATAATTTTTCCAGTTTCCAAAATTGTGTTGCCATTTTTTCCTCTTCCATTACCTGTGTGGTTGTGGACTTATGCTTTTAAAAAACTCATTCATCATAGTTTTGGTGGGTCTTTAGGAGGAACAGAAACTACCATGAATGTTGTCTGCCATTTCTAGTAGGAATTAAAGCATACATAACTTTTACTGTATAAGTATTAAAGTATCTCCTTTTAGGCCCTTGCCGAATTTGCCAACCTCATCTGATGTCTGTTGTATACTCTAGCTGCCATGCAGTTTCTTGAATGAGCCATGTTCTGCCTTTGCCATCTGGCCTCCACAAATGCTGATCCCTCTGTAAGGAACTTCTGTTTGCTACATGACCACTTCTATAGATCCTTCAGAACTCAGTTTAGGTATCTTACCCTCCAATTATGGCAAAATGTCACTGCTGTGGCACTCAGTCTTTTCTCTATTTTAAAATGGGTCATGTTTTATTGTAAAGGGTGGTTTTAACATCATTTTCCCTCACTAGCTTTGTGCAGGCAGGGACTATGACCATGCTCCATCTCATCTGCTGCAGTATAACCAGATCTTAGCACAGTACCTGGGACTTAGTAGGTGTTCAATATGTGTTTGATGAATAAACAAATGAAGACAAGTGAAATTACTTTCTTACAATAAGGAAACAGTACTGAAAATGGATTCTCCCAGTTTTTTCTGTTTATACCATCTGCTCCTTTTTTCTTGGTTTGTATTAAAAATCAAATATATTTGGTTAGGTGCCCCAAAATTGGGAAAAGGAAATAACAACCCCTTACATTTGTAGGTGGTAGGCCAGGATAATTGTCCATCTCTAATTTACAGTGAAGGAAGCAGAGAATTGGTAATACTACACAGATTATGAGAGAGGATTCTAGAACTAAGAATTAATATCTTCTGCTTCTAGCCCTGCTTTGTTTTTACTGTTTGAAACACGCCTAGGATGTTTATCTTTCCAACTCTGTTGTCCTTCATGCTCTGTAGGTGCCTTGTTGTTATCCTCTATATTTGACTTCCATCAAATAACTACCAGTATGTTGCTATTCCAGGGAGTGAATCACTGATTCTCACTTGAAGGGGCAGTACAATAATCATCTTGGAGTCTTTTGCAGTCTACACATGGCTCTTCCTCTTCCTGCCCTTTCAGTCCCTACCTAGAATGTCCTAGAGCAATCCATTAAAGGTGTACCCTAATGACTTTGGTATGACTATCTTCATAGGTGAGGAATGTTGGTTTAAATATTAATTATGACTAAGCTGTATTATATTAATCTGTTACTGACACTAGTACTTTTGTTAATTTTCTCAGATGTGGAGGTGGTGGTATAACATGAATCAAATACCAACTTTAGAACTTCTTAAAATTGTTTTTAATTTTTAATTTTTACTCACAACATGGCTGCTTACTTATAGACAGCTTTAGAACTTGATTGGCATGCTGATCTGCCACTCACCAGCTAGGTTGGTTTGTTCCATTTTATTTTGAAAATTAGAAAACCTACAGAGAGTTAAAAAACAATGCAATGGAAACTGTATATTCCTCACCTACATTCACCAATTTTTATCATTTTTGCCACTACCCTCTCCAGTGTGTGTATACCTGCATATATACATATGGAGATAGATTATGTATATTGCTATTGAATCATTTGAACATAATTTTTGTTAAAACATTTAAAAATAATTTGTATATACCATGACATTTTATCCATAAATACCTGTCATACCTAAGAAAATTAACTTTAATTCAACATCTAACACACTGTCAATAATTTCTCATCTTCTCAAATGTATTTTACAACTATGTGTTATAAAATAGTGTGTGATTTTATGTTATTTTTTAATCCAGGAGTCAGTCAACGTTTGTGCATTACTTGTGGTTGCTATGTCTCTTTAATATAGAACAACCCCCTTCCCTCGTTTTGCTTTGTTTTTCATGAACAAACATTAATATTGATACCCTTTCAAAAGTCCCTATCAGTAATCTTCTAGAAGTTCCCACATTCTGGGCCTGTGTGATTGTTAAACATTTTTGGCAAGAATACAACATAGGTGGTGTCGGTATCTCTTGTTGCCTTAAGTTAGGAAGCACATGGCATCAGGATGTCCCCTATTGGTGAGTCTATGTTTGAGCGCTTGGGCAAGGGCATAACAGCCAAGCAAACCATCGTGAATGTAATCTGTAGAGGGTTACATTGTAGAGGATTATCTGCTATGGTCTAAATGTTTGTGTTCCCCCTAAATTCATACGCTGAAATCTAACCTCCAATGTGATAGTATTAAGAGGTGGGGACTTTTGCAGGTGATTAGATTATGAGAGTGGGGCCCTCATGAATGGGATTATGCCATTATGAAAGAGGCTCCAGGAAGCTTGCTGGCCCCTTCTACCATGTGAGAACAAATCAAGAAGGCACCATCTATGAGGAAGGGGTCATCACCAGACACTGGATCTGCTTGCACCTTGGTGTTGGACTTTCCAGCCTCCAGAACTGTGAGAAATAAAGTTTTGTTGTTTATAAACCACATATGGTATTTTTGCTAAAGCAGCTCAGATAGACTAAGAAAATTACCATATGGGTATTTTTTCTTTTCTTTTGAGACAGTCTTGCTTTGTTGCCCAGGCTGGAGTACAGTGGCACGATCTCTTTTCACTGCAACCTCTGCCTTCCAGGTTTAAGCAATTCTCCTGCCTCAGCCTCCCAAGTAGCTGGGAACACAGGTGTGTACCACCACATACAGCTAATTGTCGTATTTTTAGTAGAGACAGGGCTTCACCCTGTTGGTCAGGCTGGTCCCAAACTCCTGACCTCAAGTGATCCCACCCGCCTTGGCCTTCCAAAGTGCTGGGATTACAGGCGTGAGCCACTGTGCCTGGCCAATATTCTTTACCCAATGAAAATACATCCAGTGATTTATTTGCCTCAACCAATTATTATATTGGGGTTGCAAAATTGTGACTTTCTAATTCTGATGTAACTTTTACACTTAGCTGAGTAATGTTTCTCATTTTTTACTTTTTAATTTTATTTCTTTTTAAAATTATTTTCTTTTTTGATGTCACCACATTGATAGGAAAATCATTTTTTATTTTTTTGAGAGAGGGTCTCTGTTGCCCAGAATGGGGTACAGTGGTATGATCTCAGCTCATTGTAGCCTCAACCTCCTGGGCCACAGCCATCTTCCCACCTCAGGCTCATGAATAGCTGGGACTACAGGTGCATGCCACCACAGCTGGATAATTTTTAAATTTTTTTGTAAAGATGGGGTCTTGCTATGTTGCCCAGGGCTGGTCTTGAACTGCTGGGCTCAAGCAATCCTCCTGCCTAGGCCTCCCAAAGTGCTGGGATTATAGGTGTGAGCCACCGTGCCTGGTCAGCTGTGTAGTTTTTTTTTTTTTTTTTTAAGACGGGGTTTAACCATGTTGTCAGGCTGGTCTTGAACTCCCGACCTCAGGTGATCCACCCGCCTTGGCCTCCAAAGTGCTGGGATTACAGGCGTGAGCCACCACGCCCAGCTGTGTAGTTTTAAGAAATTAATTTAATTTCAGGCTGGGCGTGGTGCCTCACACCTGTAATCCCAGCACTTTGGGTGGCTGAAGTGGGTGGATTGCTTGAGATTAGGAGTTTTACCTTTTTTTATTGAGACGGAATTTTTCTTTTTTTGTACAGGCTGAAGTGCAATGGCACGATATCAGCTTGCTGCAATCTCCACCTCTTGGGTTCAAAAGATTCTTCTGTCTCAGCCTCCTGAGTAGCTGGGATTACAGGCACCTGCCACCACACCTGGCTAGTTTTTTTGTATTTTTAGTAGAGACAGGGTTTCATCATATTGTTCAGGCTGTTCTTGAAGTTGAGATTAAGAGTTATAGACCAGCGTAACCAACATGGTGAAACCCTGTCTCTACTAAAAAATACAAAAAATTAGCCAGGTGTGTGTCTGGTGCCTGTAATCCCAGCTGCTTGGGAGGCTGCACTCCAGCATAAGTGACAAAGTGAGACACTGTCTCAAAAAAAAAAAAAAAAAAGGAAATTAATTTGATTTCAATGGACCTTAATTTTTTCATCTGTAAAATAGGATAATAAAAGACAATTCATAGGGTGATGGTGCAAGTGGAGGTAATGTCTTCAATTGCCTAGTATGTAGCAATGATTCCACAAGTGATAGTTTAAAAATGTTTAGATTATTTGCAAACACCAGTTAGAGAGGAATATTTTTTTTCAAAGTCAGTTGTACATCTTTCAATACTGCACTTTTAATTTCTTTCCTATAAGGTAGAGAAAAGAAAAGTACAGTGTCATAATTTAAAAATTTTGATGCATTTATTAACCTGTCTGAATCCGGCCATTTTCTTGAATTCTCTTTGATTCAGAATAGTTCCTTTCTATACAATAAGGACAATCATGATTATACCCAAAGTATATCAAAAGAAAAAGAAGTGACATACATCATGCGATAAAAATGCTTTATAAAAGGAAACTTTTTGGTAACCAAGAGTGTGTCAATCTAGAATTGGAACCTATGTAATGATCTTGGACACATACGTTTGGCATTTCTAGGCCCACTTTCTTGTGTAACATAGTGGTAATGATAATGCCTGTTGCGGTAGTATGAGTTAAGATAAAATGGGATCATTAATTCATAGTCTATTATAAAACCTTAAATTATGACAGTAACATTTTACAATTACAAATATTGAGTTTTTTTAGCTAGAGAATGTAATAAGTGCAATAACATTGTCAATATGACTTCTATAGATACTCTTTTTTTGGCTCGTAAGTGCTTGATTAGAATAGATACGTGAATGCAGATGAACTGTAAAAAGTCCTGGGAGGGAAGAGTAGGATGTTTTTGACAGAAAAGCTGCATTTTTGAACTTAATTGCCCTTAACAGGACTTGTCTGGACTGCACAAAAGGCATAAAGTTTTAGTTCACTAAGGTATTAGTTTCTGTCCACTCTCACTTCCATCTCCAGAGTTCAATTACAGGGCTGGTCTCTGAAGTTTAGTTTTGATGGATGCAACATGATGCATTAAAATCTATGCCATTCATAAATGAGGACCCATAGTTAATGGCACATCTGTACCACAAATACAATTAATACCAAAAAGCATTATTACGTGAACTGCATCTTAGAAACTGTGGTAGATGTTTTCTTGTAAAAACATCTATAGTACAAATTATGTAACAACAAAAAACATGAGTGATATGCATTAAAATATTAAACATGGTTTAATGGGAGAGGGGAACTTATCAGTTTTTAATGCATGCTTTGACCCTGGTAGTTTATCTTCTTCAAAACTATCCTGAGCTAATTTATGTTGAACATCATTTGATGTTTTTACAACTTCTTTGTCCTTCTTACAGTCATTGGCAAGTAGATCAATTTACTTAGATCTCTTGACGTGGGATGAAAAAAACTTACAATTACCAATAAAATAAGCAAATATAGGTACTATTCTCGAACAAGCCTGGAGGTTTTTTGTCAGCAGGCAGTGATTTCTGTAAATGTGAAAAGGATCTGAATTAGGAAACAGTAGGCAATGGATAGCTGATGGAACAAGGAGGAGGGATGACGGAAGTCTTCATTAACCTGAATTGTGAATACACTGGTTTCCTCAACCTTCCATTTTACTCCCCTTTCTGATTTCAATTTGTTCTTTGTCTAAGAAAAACAAGAACCCTTAAGAATAGATACTGTCTAATAGTTGGAACGTAAGATTTGGTGACAAGAGTTTTGGAGTCAATGTACTAATTTTACTGATGACTCACTGAGAACTTCGTATAAGTTACTTAATCTTGTGTTACTTCAGTTCCTGATGTGTTCAAAAAGAATAAATTTGATCCTAAAAATAGTTAAATAGGTTGACTAGAGTTCTAAGAGGATATTTAATTATGTAAATTTCTACCACTTTAACATTATTCTTTGGCAGTATGTCTTAAACTATCTATGCTTTGGCTAACTTCTAAAACTTTACATTATAAACATATCTTTTTAAAAATTCATTTTCCAACTCTATTCTCCATGTCCTTGGTATCCTTGTTTCATGAATTTATTTTCTCTGATAATATTTTTAAAACTATTTCAGATCAATAAGTCTGCTTTTGCTGGTTCTTTGGATTCTAATAAAATCCTTTGTATTTTATCTTACTTGAATTAGAATTCTTTCTCTTATAATCTACTGCCAGCATATTAGCCTGAAATTTTTCTTATATGGAAAAGATTCATATTTTATTTTATAATAAAAGCATTATATATATAATATGACTAGAAATATCTTAAATTTCATATAATTTTTGTCAATGAATCTTTGTCTATCTTATTTGTGTATGAATTACCCTTCATTAATATATCTATAGTATATAAGATGAGAGAGGGAAAATTGCATCATTACATTTTATTTATCTGTTAGAGATGGGGTGTTGCTGTGTTGCCCAGGCTGATCTTGAACTCCTGAGGTCAAGAGATCCTCCCACCTTAGCCACCTGAGTAACTGGGACTATAGATATGGACCATTGCTCCTGGTTCACCATTAAATTTAGAATTAGAATTTTGCAGATATAAATGGCCCTAGAGGTCATCTTGTTCAAGTCCCTCATTTTATAGATAAAACGGGTAAATCATGTACTTGTCTAAGGCTACAAGGCACTTAGTTATAGAGAGTAGGGACTAGAACTCATGAGTCCTGGGTCCCCAGCCACTGTTGTTACTACTGAACTCCTAATACACTTGTATCCTTTAATTGGTGAATCTGGTTAACCCATGTTGGATTCAGCCTCTAGATAAGCTTATCTCCTTGTACTTGCACACTGCACCTTTAATTCAGGCCATCCAAAATTATAACCTTGTAAACCACAAGTTGAGATGGAGAACTGGCACAGATCCATTATCCTACTGAAAAAACATATGCTACACAGATGCTGGATAGTCATCTTTGTTTCCAAGGACAACACGTCACTTCTCAGAGATAGCAATCCATTCTACATTTATTTGACAAACATTAATTTACATTCTCTATGCAACAGGCACTGCGTATTTCCTATCTTAGGATCCCTGAACTTATACTCTCAAGATGAAAGCACATGTGAAACAAATAATAGTAAAAAGAGTTGAATCTTTAAGTATACATATCTTAAAAGCATGAAGTAAAAAATGCCCTTTTTTACATCACATTTTCTTGCAAAATTTGCCCTTTTAAAATATAATCAGAAAAGGGAGCAAGATGAGCATATAATGGAAAGTTGATGACTCATAATTGCAAAGCTTTATTTGGTCCATGCTTAACAGCTGTTTCTCCTACTAGGTATACTGCTGTAACTAGATAAAGTTGTTCCGGAGTTGGGAGAGCTGAAGTTTTAAAGTGGGATAGGGAAGAAGAAAATATTCATTATGTTTAAATTAGTATTTTTATTATTATAAAAGTAATGCATTCTTGGATAAAACATTCAATTTATACCTTAAAGGTATAAATTGCAAAAGGAAACGTTCTCTCTATTCTGGATATACAATCAACAGTTTTCTGTTCTTTTTTCCAGAAATATTCTATGCATATAGAAACATGTAGATGTGTGTACGTTTTCCACAAATGGTTTAATATTAAACATGCTTTTCCTCAACTTAGCCTGTACATATTTATACATCAGTACATACTGATTTCATTAAAAAAAAATGAGCCAGGCACTGTGGCTCAGGCCTGTAATCCCAGCACTTTGGGAGGCCGAGGCGGGCAGATCACCTGAGGTCAGGAGTTTGAGGCCAGCCTGGCCTCAGCTAAAAAATTAGCTGAGTGTGGTGGCACGTGCCTGTAGTCTCAGCTGCTTGGGAGTCTGAGACAAGAGAATCGCTTGAACCTAGGAGGTGGATGCAGTGCCACTGCACTCCAGCCTGGGGGACAGAGTGAGATCCCGTCTCAAAAAAAAAAAGAGTGTATACCTTTGCATGCTTTTACCATAATTTAAGAAGAAGCCGACTACTTTTTTAAAGTCAGAAATACTGTGAAGAGAACAGGCATGGCGGTGCACATCTGTAATCTCAGCACTTTGGGAGGCCGAGGCGGGCGGTTGCTTGAGCTTAGGAGTTGGAGACTAGCGTGGGCAACATGATGAAACCCTGTTTCTACAAAAAATACAAAAATTAGCTGGGCGTGGGGGCACACACCTATAGTCCCAGCTATTTAGGAGGCTGAGGTGGGAGGATGGCTTGAGCCAGGAGGTGAAGGTTGCAGAGGGCTGAGATTGTGCCACTGTACTCCAGCCTGGGCGACAGAGCCAGACCCTGTCTCAAAAAAAAAAAGAAAGAAAAAAAAATTGCGAAGGTAACACAAATACATATTTAACGTATTTGCAACAGTCATTGTCACAGTGAATAACAGTCACAGGTGTATAATAGTGAAAGTTTGTTAAATTAGTATTTCTTCATTTGTTGACTCCTACAGCCCATCAATGTTTTGACTGGTTGCATTTGTCTTTTCATTCATAACTGCTTAAAACTTTCTCCCTAACTAACCTGAGGAAGTGGTAAAAGTCAGCCTTTTTTCCGGTATGAGGCCACCCTTGGTGCTGTCTGTAATTATCTAGATATGGCAGCCAGGACCCAACAGCTTTGCGTTTCAACTCATATGGACTTTCCAGGCGAATTCCTTGCCCCCCTCTGCTCCCCACTTAGCTTGACTTCCTGTCTTTTATCATCCGCAATCTATCAAGATCCTACAATGTGCTGTGTAGGACAGAACAAATCACTGTTTTACTTCACAATTTAAGGAAGGCAGGGGGCTAGTTTTTAAGATAAAAATCTTTTAACAAAACGTAAACTCCCTCAAACTTCCTTCAAACCAAACACCATTGTCACACTCTCACAAGCTCTTATTACTTATACAGCCAGATGACTCAAGATTACTAACGTTTCTATTCATAAGGAGTTTGCTGGCCCCAAATCAACACAATCAAGCCCTCCCCCACCTTCCTTCTCGCTCCCCTGGGAGACTGACGTTTGGCGCTCACGCCGCACGAGGTTTTTTCAGAATGAAGACGAAGTGTGTTTGCTGCTGGAACTCTTTGTCCTGGGATTTTATAAACACCTTTCCCACCCCTTTTTAAAGTTCTGTTTTTGAGGTGGCGGAAAAGGAGGTCGGAATCTATTTAGCCTCTAAGTCTCTCAATTCAGAAATATATTCTAAGAATGAAAGAAAAAGACCAAGATCTGTGTTTGCTATTTACTGCAGAACTGGGTATTCCTATCAGAAATCACCTACATGTGTCACCAAGATCAGAGACGAGGATGAGGGAAACAGCGTGATCCCTGCCTTCTGGAGGGTTACAGTTGAAGCTTCCGCTGCCTCTGCACTTGACGTCAAAACAAACAAAAAACCCACTGCAAACAACAAATCCGGGCCCACCATTCCCCTTGGATCTTTCACTTGACAGCTCTCTCATCCAAAAAAAAGGCACCCTACATCGGAATTCGTCCCTAAGGCCTTACCGCACCCAGTCCAGGAGGCAGTCCAGGCAGCTGCCCTCCGCCCAACTCCGCGCTTTTTCACACGCGCTCCTGGGAAGGACAAAACCGCTCCAACGACTGGACTCGGTCCGTTTCCTTTCGGTAGCCTCCCCACAGCCCAAGACGCTGTCCCCAGACGCGGCCAGCTCCTACCCCGGCCCCTTCGCAGTCCTCCGGCGCGCGGGCGGGGCGGGGAGGAACGCGTGGGCGGCCGGGAGGGGGCGCCGCAGGGGCGCGAGCCAGACCCGGAGGGCCGCGGAGGACGCGGGAGGCGAGCGGAGAGCCGAGGTCTTGCTAGGATCCCGCGCTCCGGGGCCTTCGTCGAGGGAGGGGCGTGGCGGGGGCAGCGGGAGGACGGCAGGAGTGTCGGTGTGGCGATTCCGTGCCCCGGCTTTTTCTGCCCAGCTCCTGCAACTCTCGGCTAAGAACTTCTCCAGCCGGCCCACCAGTCCTGGCCCCACGCACTCGGCGCCCGGCGACTCCCGCACCTTGTCCCCGGCCCGCCCTCGCCTCCTCCTCCGGCCGCACCACTCCCCCTGCCGGCCGCTATTCTCTCCGTTACAAAGGAGGGAAAATGAGCCGGGCGGCGGCGGCGCGGCGCGGGGCCACCACGGCGGCGGCGAGCGCGGCCGCCCCCGGCACCACGTAAACCGCCCCCGCCCGCCCAGCCGCGGCCCAGGCCCGAGTGGAGCCTGCCGCCTGCAGCCGTCCGCCCGCCTGCAGCTCGCCTCCTCAGCCCTAAGCGTCGCCTCCCGGCCCGCCGAGGAGGTGGAGGAGGAGGAGGCGCTGCTTTGCCCGCGGCGCGCGCCCTCGCTGTTGTCTGAGCTCTGCTCTGGACCAGTTTGGGGAAGTTGCCCCGCGTCACCCAGATGTGCGACCTCATTGAGCCGCAGCCAGCCGAGAAGATCGGCAAGATGAAGAAGTTGCGGAGAACTTTGTCAGAGAGTTTCAGCCGCATTGGTGAGTAGCATGCTGCCCCCGGCGCCCTCAGCACCCGCTCCCCTCGGCCTGCGCCCTCGTCGCGCTCCTGACACCAGCCATGCAGCTGCCACCGGGTCTGGCGTGGGGTGCTTTGCGGGTGGGGGTCAGGGGCACAGTGCTGGGGATGCCGAGGAGGGCGAGGACGCAAAGAGAAGAGACCCCTCTCCCTTAGGATCTGGGGGTTCATTTGTAGACTGTCTCAAACCTACAATATGGGTTCCCCCCTCCTCCGCCACTAGTGCTCGCCCTTTCGCGCGCGTAGGGGACGGGCGAGACGACCCGTCGGCCCCCACCGCGCGAGGGGCTGCGCGGCTGCTTGGGTCACTTGTTATTTTTTTGCGCACAGGCTTAGATATTGGGTGTTTGGTAGTAATTTAGCTTTGGTAATTGGTGAAACGTTAGACTGTGCCCTGGTATTGTTTAACATATCCAACCTAAAGGGAAGTGGGACAGTTACCTTGGGACCTATTGTTCGGTACTTCGGGTCCTGGAAAGCGAGATTTGGGTATTCAGTCTTGAGGGCTCTGAATCTTCTGGCTACTGAAGAGAAATGCACTCTGTGAAGTTGTCTGGACATTTAGGAATGTCTCCCGAACTTGTTCCATTTACTAGAGCTCGGGTTATTGTCTTTAAACCAACCAACCAACTGAGCAACAATATTTAGGACAGTGAAGAATAAATCCATGTCACAGGTTGTAACAGGGTGACAACAGTGTCACGTGGAATGCATTTGTTAGATTTTGAGTATTGGTCATATAAAACCTCTTTTAACCTGAAGAGGTAGTTGCCTTCCCTGCTGTCATAACTTTCACTGATACACGTAACTATCCTGAGCAAGAGAATGCTATAGACACAAAAAATAATCCTTGCGAGTCCCTAGGAAGCCGCCTAGTCTTTGTTTCACTTGTTTAAAATGTCATCCATGTTAACGAAGGTGTTAATGGAAATTAAGCATAAAGGTGCTTAATTCCTTAAAATAAAACCCTGGAATGCACATGAGTGTTACAGATATTTTTCCATTCATTGCAAGATATGTAAACTTTCTTTAAGTATGAGAGTACAATGGATCGAAATTTAGCCGTGTGTGTGTGTGTGTGTGTGTGTGTGTGTGTGTGTGTTTTGCCTTTCGACTTAAAATTTTGTGTTGGTATGCAAAATCTTTCCCAAGATGACTGTAAAGTTGTGGCGTGAAACCAATCTTTAGTTTTATTTATTGCGTGTATTGTATGTTAACAATTTCGCTCTTCAGAGTTAGGGATACATATGGAGAGTCCCTGCATTCAAATGAAGTTTGAAGCCAAGAAGAATGTGAGAGGGAAATGCTGAGTCGTGTGCATTATTAACGAGGATGTTTCAGTCCTGACCCAAACCTTCACAGAGGCGGGTTCTGGAGTCCATTAAGCCCTGTTCTAAAACACATTAACTATATGTTTACCAATGCTAATGATTCTGTTGGAGCCCCTCCAGTTTTTTGTTAAATAATTCATTGCAATTGAGTCTCAGTAAGAAACCAAGAGCGTTAATATAAAAGTTCCTTATGTTTAAATAATTTCAAGGTTTTGATTGACAATCAGTAAAATTTGGATGAAGTACAGTGCTGGCAAATGAGGGTATTATAGTTAATTGGATTTTCTAGCTTACTGAGATTTAGTGATGTGAAACTCCTTTTGAATCTAACTCTTGTTAAAATGTCTTCTAAGATCTAGTGGATTTTATATCCTCCCTTTAGGACACAGAATACAGTGCAGTGAACACAACTGATTATTTTTGTATTGATGGAGGGTATTGATTCTGAATCGTAGATCTTATTGTGGAATATTGTAAAAGGAGATACTGCAGTGATTATAGTTGTATACCAAGCCAAGGACATTCATTAGAAATAGCATTACAGAAACAAAATCTGTATCTTCTTATTTTCTTAGTGTTTTATATTGTATTGGCAAAATTATAACCAGTGAGCTTGTTCTGATTATCTAAGGATTTTTAAGGTGCTAGAGGTTGTTGAGTTGAGGGTTTACTACAGGATTATATAGTGCATGAGTTAAGAATGTGGGCTGTGTGTCACACAGACTGGGTATTTACAGTGTTGCCATGCCCAGCTGAGGTCCCTCAATTTCTCTGAGCTTCAGTTTTTCATGTGCAACTCAGTTATGTTGCTGGCTTTTAGTGAAATAATGCACATCATGTCCTGTGTGGCACATTATATAAAGACTCAGTAAACCTTCAAGATATGTCATCGTTGTTGTTATTATTAGGGATTCCATCATACTGACACAACTGATCTTATAGATAGAAAGCAAGAGAAGAGGGAAGTGGCCCTTGACTTTGTAGTATAGCCAGCCTTACAACAGCATGTGGGTTGGAGTTAGGCAGGCCTGGGTTTGAACTCAGTTTTCCTTGTCTGCTCTGTGCCTTTGGCAGCCAGCGGAGTTTCCCTAAAGCCCAGAGTCCTCATCTGTAAATATTCATATAAGATGAATGAATATATGTGAAGATTAAATTGGATAAAATATGTAAAAAATCTAGTGCAGTATCTATCACAAGGTGAAGGTCAATGTGGTAGGTTGTTATTATTCCTTCCAACTTTTGTTTATACCCCATTATCCTCCTTTCTTCATGGGTACTTCATGAGGAGATCAAAGAGTGAATGGTTTATTCTTGTTGAATAATCCACACTGCAATGTATTCATTCTCTTTAACCAATCTAAGATGGCTTTTGAAATAGACATACTGACTTTATTTTGCTGCTTTGGTATGATCCAAAAGTGTAGCTTGTTGCATGGTAAAATGTGCCTTATTGTTTAGCCATAAGAAATTATTAATCATTCATCTATAGAAAATGAGAAAATGTTTGAAAGTATCTGATATTCAATCAATGTTTATTATTAATAATAATTCTAAACACATAAAAGTAGCAATGCTAACGTTTAATTTATTTACACATCTGTGGTCATGCTGACTTCGTCACTGCCCACCCCAAATACAACTGATCTGAGATTACTACATTATAAAACACATTGGCTTTCAAGCCATAGCGCTCTAATTTACAGCATCTGCCAGAGAATGACTATGATTTAGCTATGGTTCTTTTATAAGATGGGTGTAATTGAATTTTGAAGTCCCCATCAATTTCGGTAGTATTTACGGTTTTCTACTAAATAGTGTCAGTGTGGTCACTTACTTAGGAATTACTGCAGTTGTTTCACTTTTTTTTGTTTTTTAATTTAGGCTAATGAAGACAAATGGGAACTTAATTACTGAATAGTTTAAGTATATTAAAGTTCATTTCCTCTTTTCTTTCTTGTTTCTTTTTTATTTTTGAATGTTAGCCTAGAAGGAGAAAGGCTTTATGTAATATCCGGTGTATGATTAAGGGCAAACTGACATTTTTTCATATTCATTTGAATGTACTTCTTCATACTAATTTGGACTTTCTCCTAGAGAAAGGAAGTTTATACTGTGTGATATTTGAGATGAACCCCATGTATACCATTTCTTTAAAGGATACAGTTTGTGAGGGAACTAAATAAAAAGAAGAGGCTGTGATTACACTGAACTTTGGGGTTTGTTATCTTGTGCTGTAAGTGTGTAATTCTAGAATTCAGTTGTCATTTGATGACTTCATTATGTCAGAAAAGTGAAATGTAAGGTTAAATGTTCAGACACAAAATTTAACTATTGTACCACATTCTCCCCAATGCAATTTCAAAAGATTTTACTTTGAAAACTACAAAATGGAATTTATATCTATGATCTTTTAAGAGAGAACCAATGTATCATTTTCATACATAAAAACTTAAGTGTGTCTCCAAAGATACTCTCCTTTTGCCAATAAGCATTAAGGTAGGGCTCACTAATTCAACAAATAATTATTGAGTACCTTCTCTCCGCTATCAGTATTGTTCTGACAGTCAGATTCACCGATCAGTGTGGCTGGTCCCTGTCCTCAAGGATTTTAAGGGAAGACAGGCCAATGAGTAGGCATTTACAGTATAAAGTGAACAAATCTATCATGAAGGTTAGTGAAATTTGCTGTTGAAGGACACAAGAGGAGCACCACTTTCATCAAGGTGAAATCATGAGAGGCTTTCTAGGGGAAGCAATGTCTGAGCAGAGGACTGAATAGAATATCTGCTGATATATGCCCCTTGGCTATTCTAGAATAATGTAATATGCTTGTTGCTCCATGAAATCCTTAAAGATAACTGTGGATTTACATTTACATGAATGATTAATGGCAGTCAGGGAACATAATAATGAAATGTTGTATTCTTGTTTGGGTCAGAATATACTCATCAGTGACCTGATAAATGTCTAGCAAAGACATCTTAAGTTGGTCTTTGTTGTCACCGTTGACTGCTGTTCAGGACAAGGACTCAATATTTAGAAGAAACCCTGTAAGGTATCAGTCTCACAGTGCATGATTTCAGTGAGGTAATGGTGTTCTGTGATACCTTGAGCTTGAGAGTATCGTGCAGATGAGAGAATCTGGCTTCCTGTTCATCATTATGTCATAGCAAATACATTTGGAGTTTCTTCTGTTTTCTCCTCTTGATACCTCCAGACCCCACCTCTTTTTTTTTTTTTTTTTTTTTTTTTTTTTTTCTCTTTTTTTTTTTTTTTTTTTTTTTTTTTTTTTTTTTGATCCCACCTGTTTATCCAGAATGTTGGGAGAATGGTTAAGACTTAGAAGATAAGAAGGAAATGGTCCAGTCTGGATGTTCAAGACATTCTAGTTTTCTGCTGTCTTCATTTCTCAACTTGAGGTTCTTCATTTTATATTTGTAGTTCCCTAAGGGATAGTATTACTATTATTTTATTTTATTTTATTGACACAGAGGAACATGGTCTCACTCTGTCGCCCAGGTTGGAGTGCAGTGGTGCGAACTTGACTCACTGCAACTTCTGCCTCCCAGGCTTAAGTGATTCTCCCACCTTAGCCTCCCAAATAGCTGGGACCACAGATGCACCACCACCATGCCTGACTAATTTTTTTTTTTTTTTTTTTTGGTATCTTTTTGTAGAGATGAGGTTTCTCCATGTTGCCCAGGCTGGTCTTGAACTCCTGGGCTCAGGCAGTCCACCTGCCTCGGCCTCCCAAAGTGCTGGGATTACAGGCGTGAACCACTGTACCTGGTGGGGTAGTATCAACTCTAGTTCTTATTGGATGCTTTGCCTAAGAAAACACATGGCTCAATTTCCAGAACTTTCATAATCCAAAATAAAGACAGTATACTTTTTTTTTTTTTTAAAGATGGGGTTTCACCATATTGGTCAGGCTGGTCTTGAACTCCTGACCTCAGGTGATCTGCCCACCTCAGCCTCCCAAAGTGCTGGGATTACAGGCATGAGTCACCGCGCCCGGCAAAGACAGTATACTTAAAAGTTTGTTCTGTGAATTATATATTTGTTGCTGTAGCTTTGCATTTTGCATGGCAGTTATATACTGTGTGTGTTCCATTAATCTTTGTTAAATGAGCTAGGTATGAGGCTGTCTGATAATTTGCTTATGTTAGACTTTGTATTTGAAATCATTGGGCTATTAGTTTCTTACTCCAAAACATTTAGTTTTTCAGATGGAGCAACTTGTCTATATTTAGAATTATATTACTAATGTTTTGTAAAGGACTCATTAGTCAAGCATGTTAATTAAAGGACACGCCTTGGGTTGAGGAATTAGACAGTATAGAAATATTGTTGACTGGTATTTATACAGAGCCTTGTAGATTAGAAGTTAAATTCTAGTGAAAATGTAGTCATTAGGAATTAGCTAGAATCTTAATATTGTTCTATAAAAACAGATTTAAATTTAATGTAGGTAATTTTAGATTTAATGTAGGTTTAGTTAAATACATAATCAAAATGTACAAGTAATTGAATGTAAAATAAGCTATTTACAGCAAATAACTATCTTTTTATTTTCCATTCACTTTCAGAAGAAATGATTATCCAATAAAGAAAGATCAGTTGTTTAGGCAAAAGGGAAAAATAAGAAACTTTTAGAAACATTTTATTTTCTCAGCTTACCTGCATCCCCCTTTACTCACCACAGTCACATTCTTCTTGAAAACACAAATACATGAAACAGAAAAATAACCTTTTCATGATTGTTAAATATGTATTCTAAGCTTTTATATGGTAGCGTCAGTTTGGGCACATTACTTTTCTCAAAGCTTAATTGCCAGACTAATTTGCTTTTCATTGCTTTTGTCAGAACAAAGCTTTCTGAGTAACAGCTACCCAAGTTGCTTCTATCCAGACCAAAACTATCAGGTATAAGCCAGCAAACATCTATGCACAATTCTATAAATTTGAAACATTTCTCCAGCTAGTAGTTTCCGATAAATTAGCTATTTAATGCATTCTCCTTAATATGAAATATTCCAAGTAATTGTAAAATGTAAGGAACTAGGTGTTTGCCAACTGTAGGTGAAATTCTTCTCTTTCTATGTTGGGTGAAAAAATTCCAGTTCTGAAGCTATGAACAGTCATGCATGTATGATGTTGGTCCCGTAAGCTTATAATACTGTATTTTTACTATACATTTTTCTATGTTTATATACACAAATACTTGCCACTGTGTTACAGTTACCGATAGTATTCAGTGCAGTAACATGCTGTATACGTTTGTAGCCTAGGAGTAATAGGCTATACCATATAACCTAGGTGTGTGGTAGGTGATACCATCTAGGTTTGTATAAGTACACTCCGTGATGTTTGTACAACGTAATTGCCTAATGGTGCATTTCTCAGAATGTATCCCAGTTGTTAAGTGACACATGACTCTATTTAAGATAAATTTGAAGTATTTGCTGGTTCCTATAAAATATTCTGAATTTTTTTTTCTTTTGAAATATTTCATTATAAAATTTATGTTGAAATATTTGAATTATGTCTCTTACTCTGCAATGCTTATTTTAACACACTTAGTGTTTCATCAACATACTTACACTTCACTCAGTATGAAAATGTCATTCAGGGCTCTATGAGAAGTAGGTGTCATCCTAACAGTTGATAATGTATGCTCAAAACCCAGGAGTTTAAGGGGAAATTTCTTTAAGATTACTTTGTGATTCCTTTATACTTTCATTAAAACATGTTCCAACTAAAGAAGAGATACGGGAAAGTTATGCGTGCTTCCTTCTTATATCTAGGAGGACAGTTCTATTTGCATATTTATGAAAAATGTTCAAAAAGATCCATGCTCTGCAATTCTTTCTCTTTCATTTCTTTCATTTGCAGTTTTCATTTTTGTATCATAACATTGTTATTCAGGTTGGGGTACAATTTACTTTCTGAAATGAAAACACCATACTGCCTTGTTTTTTTTTTTTTTTTTTT